TCATTGCAGACCTGTCCCCTAGTGGGAAGTACTACATGGCGGACCTCTACGAAGTAGGAGGCATCCCGTCGGTCCAAAAGTTGTTGATCGCAGCTGGTCTGCTTGATGGCGATATTCCCACTGTGACCGGCAAGACTCTGGCCCAGAACGTAGCATCACACCCATCGTTGTCTGCTGACCAGGTCATCATCCGTCCCCTGGACAACCCTATCAAGGCGACGGGCCATCTTCAGATCCTGCGAGGTAACCTTGCACCCGGCGGTGCGGTTGCTAAGATTACCGGCAAGGAAGGGCTCCGGTTCACGGGTAAGGCGCGCGTGTTTGACAAGGAGCATCAGCTCAACGAGGCCCTGAACCAGGGCAAGATCCCTCACGGCGAGAACCTGGTCATTGTTGTTCGCTACGAGGGCCCTAAGGGTGGCCCGGGAATGCCGGAACAGCTCAAGGCCAGTGCAGCGCTCATGGGAGCCAAGCTCACCAACGTGGCACTGATTACGGACGGTAGATACTCTGGCGCTAGTCACGGATTCATTGTGGGGCATATTGTCCCTGAAGCTGCCGTAGGAGGGCCCATTGCCGTTGTTCGGGACGGCGATGTGATCACTATTGATGCCGAATCAAATGCCATCACTATGGATGTATCGGATGAGGAGGTGCAGCAGCGTCTGCGGGAGTGGAAGCCCCCAGCACCGCATGTCACACGAGGTGTGCTGGCCAAATATGCCCGGTTGGTGGGAGATGCCTCGAACGGAGCCATGACGGATCTATTTTAGGTGGATTGGTATGAATGTGGCTCAATTCCCAGTTTCTCAATAAAATTATTTGTTTATTCCAAGATGTATCCATACTATAACCCAACTTGGCTGTGGAGACTGTCTCCAATGACGCAGCTGTCCTGTCATGGTAGTACTCTGGAATAGTTTGACACTATGTACACATCAGGAATCAAAATACAGGATGACAACAAAGGACAGTTAGTAGTGATGCTCTAACCTTCTATCATATTCATTTATACAAGTCTCCTATTAAATTAATAGAAGATGGTCTCGTGTTTGGAGCGGCGAGAACTCCGGCATCCGAAAGACCCCAAAGGGACTAGCGCGGGATGAGTCATCCAGGAAGCTGCAGCGTGACGCCATGAGTGGATGTGAATCACCGCCGGCAAATTTGCGACAAACCAAAGTATCGCAGATCCTCCACGGTCTTGCCTCCGACCCTCTGACAGGCCTGTTGTTTGTCGCCGCTCCCTGTCGTTATCCGCCACCATTTCTGCTTCTCTTCCGGATTCCGCTCCGCGATCCAGCCCGCCTGCAGTTACTCCAGTTAAGGTTTGCGTTCCTCAGTCGCAAAGTGTGGTTGCGATTTTCTATTGCTGGTGCTGCACAAAGCTAGGTATGAGTGTGCCCACCGCTGCCAAACTCCGCCCACCATTCACTCTGAAAGTTGACGCTGTACTCTCATGAGTCCCCCGTACGACTGGTTTTTGGGTGGCTTTGGGATCATAGCTGACCTGCCTCACAGTTCTTTTGCGACGTCAGGCGCATCATCCTCCGCATCACTCTGCCGCCGACTGGAATCTCCGCGCAAAACGCTCCATGTGACCCGGAGGTTACTTGGGTCAACCAACAATTGAGATACCGTCGTCATTCGGTTGGAATCAATCCTTAAAACAAATTGGGCCGTCGTCCTCCTTGCTTTGGTTCAAATAAAGACCTGGTGGATCTGTCAGATTGTCCGGAACGCCTAGGCGCAGCCAGCAGACCAACGTGACGGATACCCAGCATTCATTGGTCCAAACTATCCCGGGGCGCAGTTAAAGTCGTGCCTAAGAACAAGCTCTCCTTACCTCAAAATAGTCTACTCCAAACTCGTTTCCTCATAGCGCGCTATCGTTGGGCTTCCCGGCTGCTGAGTGTTTCGATCGACCCGCTCCGTTGCCTCACTATCGATCCCGGAGACTCTCCTGACCCGCCAAAGAGGTGCCGTTCTCTCGGCTCGTGTGAACTTCGACTCGCATTCCAGAACGGATCCTCTTCGCTCCCGATCGTTGGTCCCTAAACGGAGGGATCCCTGACACTAGGTGTTAAGGCGTGGGCGATCGGTGAGCGGTAATAAGGTTCCTGTTTAGGGGCGACGCAGCTTCGCGCCTGGACCAGTCGGTAGTCTTATAAGTATCCCCAACATTGTCTTCGTCGCCGCCGGGGATGGGGTCGACAGATGTCCCTCTAACCTCCCCTACCACCTCTCGGTCCGGTCTTGTGGATTTTGGTGCTTCTCTACGCCTTTGGGACTCGACTTACACTGCCTTCACCAATTCTGGTGCTTTTGCTTCACTCGCCCGTCTTTGTAAGGCATATAGCTATGATGGCACGGTGAATTGGGGAAAGGTCGTTTTCCTGACTACTTGTTTCATCACTATGCTGGGTTGCGGAGTCATTTCTTCCGTCCTGCGGCGCAAGGCCTGGGGCCAAGTCTCAGGAAAGGCACGTTTTCGTCGAACGCGCAAAGGCTTATCCAAGCGTTCTGAAGGAGTGGTCACTTCTTCAGATGAGGAAGACTACGATAGCACGGGATCTCTACGCCATGGCACTGAAGGCACTGTTGCGGAGAAGACGGAAGTGCCTCAACAAAAGCAGAGCGAGAATGGTTGGTACCCTCTCAGTGTTTCAATGTTGGATACTGACATAGACAAGCCCATGATACAGACCCAGGCCTCCTGAAGAAGCACTCATCATACCTGTCATACACAACATCTACGGCGACATATCCTTCTATCAGAACGTTCTTTCGTCCGCATCCTCAAAAGGACAAATTGCCCACTAAGCCCTCGCCGATTCCGTTGTTGGTCTTTGTGCATGGCTTGGGTGGATCTCTTGCGCAATTCAATCATCTGCTTACGAGTCTTTCCAATGTCGGGCCTTGCTTTGGGATCGATCTCCCTGGGTGCGGCTTGTCGTCTTTTTCGCCCACTTCTTGGGACGCGTATACTGTGGAAGCGCTGGCAGAGTTGCTTGCTACAGCCATTGAGCAGCACCGGGACAAGGAAGCAGGCCAAGAAGTGGTTCTAATCTCTCATAGTCTGGGCTGTTCGCTGTCTGCTTTATTAGCATCCTCCACGTCTTCGATAGGCGCTGGTTTGAAAGAACATATTCTTGGTCTCATTGCCGTCTGCCCTCGCGCTGCACCTCCACCCCCACATGATGTTACCAAATTTCGCCGGCTTCTTCATGTACCCAGCCCAATCTTCGACCTCTGGCGCTACTGGGATCGGCGGGGCGGTTTACACAGCACCAGCGTGAACAGGCTTGTCGGCGCAGCAGCAGATCCCGATACCAGAGGCCTCCAAGTCCGCTATAACAAGCAGAGCAAGACGGCCGTGTGGAGACGGATGGCATGGGGAACACTGCCGTCGTATGACAGTAATGGCAAGGCCGTCGGAGGCATCCCGGGCGAAGATGTATGGGCAGGCGTGCGCACGCCCGTTCTCCTAGTGGCTGGTGAAGCGGATGCGGTGAACAAACCTGCAGAGCTAAAGAAGATCCTGGAGTTCTTTGCCCGAGCAGGGTGCAGCGTGGATGACGACGCGGATGGAGTGAGCTCCAGTCCCGATGCATCCGCAGTTCACGATAAGATGCCGGCATCGTATGATCGGCGGGCACACGAAGAGGAATTCGGGGTGGAGCCACAGATTGAAGAGAAGGAGATCACGAGTGAGTCTGATCAGCCGGGATCTCGGCGGTCGGTCAAGACTGTTATCTTGCCTGCTCCGGCGTCTCATGCTTTGATCTACGACCGTGCGACGTACCGCACTCTTGCCGGGATCATCCAAGACTTTCTCAGCCAGCACATCGATAACCGCCTCAGCATGGGTTGGCAGCTGCAATATCTCAATACGTCAGGAAAGTGGGACGTGAAGAACCTGGCGAAGTGGAAGAAGGTTGCTCCAGTGTCAGAAAGAATTGCTGACACCTTTGCGGCGCTCAAGATGCTCCGGGAGGTGGACGAAGAACACAACCCTGTGCTGTTTTCTCAAGCTTACCGCGACAAGATTTACGCTGTGATTGATATCAGCTACGAGAATCCGGTGTACAATCCCGCGTCCATGGAGAAAGGCGGCATCCACTACCACAAGCATCCCACGGTGTCAAAAATCCCACCTACTCCAGACGAGGTTCGCGACTTCATCGCACTAGTAGACCGACTACAGAATGAAATCACTGAGAAGATGGAGAAGTCCGGCAACCCCGCGGGTCCACGGCCGGTGGTAGGAGTCCACTGTCATTACGGATTCAACCGCACGGGATTCTTGATTGTCTCGTACTTGATCGAACGGCGCGGATTCAGTGTGCCGGAAGCGATCGAGGAGTTCGAACGGCGACGTCCACCGGGCATTCGTCACGAACACTTTATTGATACCCTATTTGTGCGATACTGCGTTGGCCTGAAGCGGGCGCCAACGCTGTAGGAAGAATGAGTTAGATTTGGCAGGGCAGGCGTTGGCTGGGATATTTCGGGTTACTTTTTTTCTCTTCTCGTAATGGAGGATAATGGGTTTTCGCTTTATGAATCACGATAATTATACCATAGACTGTACAGTAGGGATGGAGAAGAAATAGAGAAATACGTATGCTGAATATGCTCCTTATCTAATGTTAGTAGTAATTGCTCACTAATCACGGATCTACATGATATCAAAGTAAGGCATCAATATAATTCATGCCTGAACGCACGACCCCAGTCACATGACCCATCAAAAACTCACCGCCCAGCACCATCTGCCCCAGGCACCAACTTAGGGTACGGCTAACCCAAAGAGGCTAAGCGAAGCGCCCACAGCCAACCGAGAAGCACTACTCGCGCAAAGTTGTGTGCGAATCCGAAATTTCGAGGCTTTCTGACCCCGACTCCCCTTCAACGACGACAACGACCGACCCATCCCCCTCCACGCCTCCCTCGTCCCTCTCTTCGATTCCCCGTTCGAGGTTCAACAAGTCGCAAAAATGGGTGGTGTCACCGTTCGCGATGTCGACGTAAGTCATGTCATGTTAAGATTCGAGATTGGTTGGTCGGTGCGGAATGGGATGGATGGCTATGGCATGGCACAATATGGCACGGCACGATCAGGACAAACCGACAAAAAAAAATGAGATTTTATCTGGTATCGGCATTCGACGGAGCAAACGACAATCATATATATCTATCTGGGATCGAATTTGGGCGCATCAAGCAAGGCTGGGTACATATACTCTCTGAGTATCAGATGTGATGAGTTTTGGGTATGGATTGGGAAATATGCAATGCTTGCACGACTATGCGATTGTGTACTCCAGCCATGTATATTGGATATGGAGATTCTGGATCAAATGGATGTTATGGGGATCAGGAACGAACTGGAACTACTGCCGCCGCGACATGCAGGATATGTCCAGATTTGCCGATACGTGCCGTGCCATATTATATGCCATGCCGTGCCATGTCATGCCTGAATGCGCACCTGCCAGACAATCTACGATATAGGATGTTTTATGGACGGAGTGGCTAACAGGATTCTTTTCCTTGGTTATAGGCGCAGAAGTTCATCGCTGCTTACTCTGCTTTCCTGAAGCGTCAGGGAAAGCTCCCCATTCCTGGTTCGTGCACATGGGATTCTTCCGAACAATCGCAACCATCAGATCAAAATTACTAATACGGTTTAAACAGGATGGGTTGACACTGTCAAGACCTCCGCCTCCAACGAGCTCCCTCCCCAGGACGCCGACTGGTACGACAACTGCCATTGATTCAAACATATTTGAAGAAAACAAAGAACCAGCATGATTAACGAATACTTGCAAATAGGTACTACATCCGCGCCGCCGCCGTCGCTCGCCACATCTACATGCGCAAGACCGTCGGTGTTGGCCGTCTCCGCAAGGTCCACGGTTCCACCAAGAACCGCGGCTCCCGCCCCGCCCACCACGTCGATGCCTCCGGCTCCGTCGACCGTAAGGTCATGCAGTCCCTCGAGAAGATCGGTGTCCTCGAGCACGATGAGGAGAAGGGTGGCCGTCGCATCACCCAGAGCGGCCAGCGTGATCTTGACCGTATCGCCAAGACCACCGTTGACGAGGAGGAGGACGAGGAGTAAATTAGTCTCTCCGGATGCTCGAGCTAAAATAATGAAAAAGTCCTGATGTTACTCTTTTTCTCCGAACCCCTTACCTTCTGTCTTCTCTACCTACACCTGGCAAACTCCCTATTGAAGCTGAGCTAGGCTTTTAGCTTCTTTGCTGTGTTTTTTCTTATAAAAACTCCCCGTTTGTCTTCTGACACCAAATCCCGCGCGGGTTTGGATGGGGGCCACCCAAAGGGGGGGTGTGTTGGGTTAGATGGGGAAATGGAATATTGGGACGAATGAGTGGCTACGACAGGGAGAGGATGACTTGACTACTACTACTACCTTTTTCTCTTTTTTTTTATCGATCAATTGGTTGTTCCTGCGGGCATAAAGGACAATTCATATATCTGGTGTAGATTTTTGCCTAAGTTTCCTCTCCCGATAGATGTATAGAGCCCGTCTAGAAGCCAGCCATCATGGACATAGGTGTTCAAGCCTATATGCAAGCCCATCAACGAGACCCGCAGCATAAGAACAATTGTGTAAAGCATACAACCATATACAAGAACCAACTATATACATCATCATCATCGTCACCATGCAATCAATGCCCATCCACCTACTCTACTATGCAAATACGTCTGTCTATCCAACACCCCATCCTCACCCTAATACTACCTACCAAAGTATCATACTAACTCAATCCTAAACCCCACAACCTACTCCTCAATCCCAACTAAGTACTTATTTCTTCCCACCCTGCGCCGTCGGATCCTAAACAATACAGAGAATCACCAGTTAGCCAACCTTATACATACACCTCAAATAAAGTATGGAAAGAATATGAGAGAGAGAGAGAGAGAAATACCAAATAAACCTGATAAAACCGCATTTTCTCGACCTTCTCATCAAACACGACCCTCCCCGCCCAAGGCACCTCAATCTCCTCATCAGGCTTTCCAGCCTCCACATCCTTTCTCAGCACATACTTCACCGTCCCATACAGCATGAGTTCTCGCTCCGCGCCGAAATACACCCGCTCGGGGGTGTGTTTGCGGCGCGCGACGTGGGTCCAGAGGCCGTGGCGGAGGGTGAGGATTTCTGTTGTATTATCCATATTTGTTAGTGTATGTAAGTCAGAGTTGTGGTTCGGATTAAATTGATAACCAGTAGTAGGTGTAATCGCATAAGGAAAAGGGTAAAAAGAGGAGAGAGCATACCATCCAACCCCTTCGCAACCTTCGAGCCCATAATGAGCGTCGCATCTTCCGTGAAATTCGTCACGTATTCGTTATGCAGGGATTCGGTGTCGCTGATGCGGTAGAAGTTCTCCAGGAAGGAGATCATGGCGGCGCTGGTGGGGGGGAGGAGGGTGGGTGGGGGGGTGGTGATTGTGTAGCTCATTTTGGATGTATAGTATGTACTAATTATTCTTGGGTTTGGGGGTGGGTGTTGTAAATTGGATGGGGTAGGGGTAGTTGTAAGGGGATGGAAGAATGGTATACTTTTTATTTAATGGATGCTGCATAGATCGGTGATGTAAGTAGTAACTTGGTAGTGGATTTGGTGAGGGGAGAAGATCTGTCGGGCCGATGGAGGGACTTCCGATAAAAGGATGGATGGATGGCGGCGATGGTTATCGGATCCGATCGGTATGGTGATTGTATTCTTATCCGTCTTGGCTGAGGGGAGCGCTGTTTTGCTTGCGTAAGAGTTGGGAGGGTATCTTGGCTAGTCTTTCTTTATTTCTACGTAGTGTAGTTTACTGTGCTTGCTTTGTGGTGATGTTCATTACTGGTAATATTTGTCATAAATGGTCCTATGTATGTAGGTCTACGCCTTCCGGCTATCAACATCCTTCTCAAAGTCCTCCCAATTCGCTGCATCAGTACCGTTGGGGCGACTGGACCGAACAAACGAGTTATCGACACCCTCGATCTCTGCAATCGGGCGAACGATCTCAATGTCCGCATTGTACGCCTTAGAGAACCATTTCTCCGTAAGGGCCTCGGCGCCAGCCTCCTCAGGAGCACGGTAGAGGTGAGGGAAACGTGCCTGCATTATCTTAAGAACGGTCGATGAGATGCGATCAACGCTGTCACAATGACGAAGCTTGAAGAACTCTGCGGGCTGCGCGGCGCGCATCTTCTCTTGCATGGCCTCTGAGTATTGGCCTACGGCAAAGAGAAGCAGGTCGTAGTGCATGAGAGACGCTTTGCCGTGGTACGAACCGCCGTATTTGGCGCGGTTGTAGAGACCAGTCAGGGCGGCAATGGCGCCCATGCAGCCGGTGCCGTAGTCGGAGATGGGGAAGGGGGGGACGACAGGGCTGGAGAGGCCCATGAATTGACCTTGAGCCCAGGCGATACCGGTGACCTGTTGTATATTAGTTATCTATACTCGTGTTGAGTTGCAGGCAGCACTTACGCAATCGGCGATCTGCTGCCAGCCAGGACGGCCGGCCCACTCTCCTTCATAACCGAAACAATTTTCGTTGACGTACACAATGCCCTTGCCGCGCTTCTCAGCTAAAGCAGCAAGAGCATTGGGGCCATAGCCCAGCTTCTCAAGCGCACCAGGGCGGTACCCGTCCACAACAACGTCGGCATCAGCCACGAGCTGCTCGAACTGGCGGCGACCTGCTTCGCTCTTGAGGTCCAGGTCGGCGGCGTGCTTGCCCATGTTGCCGTCAACTTGGAAGAAAGGGACATCGGAGAGGTTGGGGCTGGTGATCTTTAGCACGTCCGCACCGTATTCGGCTAGGATACGTGCAACAGTAGGGCCGGCAATGATGCGGCATAGCTCCAGAACCTTGACACCTTCGAGGACTCTCTTGCTGCCGTTGCGGCTGGCTGGGAATGGGGTCGGCGGCAAGTCTCCATTCAGACGGCTGACTTTCCACGGAGGCTGTTGGACGTTGAGTGCTCCCTGGTAGCTTGTCAGCGTTGCTTGGTGGGTATATGGCAGGGATCATACATGCGGGGTCTTCTTGAAATCCTCATATTTGAATGCGGTCACACCCGCCTGTCGTCTTTCTCTGTTCATCTCTTCCAGCTCTGCGGCGCTGTACTTTTGCACGTGGCTCTCAATGACCTTGATGATCTCCTCGTAGTCTGTCAGGTCGGGACGCTGCCCTTCCAGGCCAATCATGTTGAGCGTTGTGGTGGCCTCCAACGAGCCGTGGATGTGGAAGTACTCGTTGTCGTTCTTGGTCTTGTAGAGGTTCGCCGACATCCGGCGGTAGCCATTGGATTGGGCTGCAAGCAAGTCGGTATCTACGTCTGTTAGCTTGGGTTGAATGTACTTGGAATGGGCAGCTTACCCTTGAGCTTCTTCTTCACCTCGGGGTCCAACTTGGACAGCCCGTCGACCTTAGCCATATAAGCCTGGCAGCCGAACGCAGTCGCCCGTTCAAGACTTATGCTGACATTGCGCTTGTGTTCAGAAGGTCCATAGCGGAGGTCTGCAATAGCACCGGCTACGGAACCCTCAACACCCTTAAGGGCAGCAAGCGTCTCGGTTTCCTTAAAAGGAATTGGAAAGTAAACTTCGTCATGTGTTGAAGAGAAAGAAACGGCATCCTTGCCCTCAGTCACTTCTTTAGGTAAATCAAGCTGCTCAGCTTGATCACAGAGAAAAGAAAAGATGCGCCCAGCTTCGCGAACTGGTGAATAGTCCACCGCGGAAGATCCCGCCATGATGTCAGTCAGTACTAGGTGGAGCTTCGTGAGTAGATGTGTGTGCGACAACGATTCTTCCTCAACTGCAAAAGCAAATTGTTAGCGCGGGATCCCACACGGCTGTCAGTTGCAAAGAATAGTTGAGGTGAAACCTTGCCTTTTAATAGGCAAGATTTTCGGCACGGCTGGGGCCTACTTCAAAGGCAGTGAATATTGTGCCGGGAATATTCCGACGTTTGGTCCGTCGGGTGAAGGTGCAGTGGTGAACACACGGCTGTGAGTAACTGCACAGCTGTGAACGCGCAGATGTGGACCAATCGGTAGGTGAATGGGCGCAGGAAACCATTATGCTTGTTGGAGAGGCGAATTATGGGCCAGGATAAGGGCAGAGGGACGAACCCCGCAGAGGGGATTCCGAAAGGTGGACCGGCTTTGCGACGTGCACTTTTCGGATGCGTCGCCGATAAGATCGGAAGCGGAACCCTCCGGCTTTGACTCGGCTGAGATAGGCGTCGATCTCATTTATCTCTATGGCCTGTCATATAGCATGTATTGAAAACGAGTTTGACATGTTGGCGTGCATCATGTTGCAGGCCTATTGCTGTAGACACTAGTGTGATCAACAGATGAGATATTGCATGTACATAGGCCATCAGTATCCTATTTCGGAGACGAACCCTTCCGAATCACCCCTCAATTGACATTCCTATACAAAGGAAAACAAGAGAATTAAAGGCCTATCCATTTGGGTTGATATGGTAGACAAGTAGACAGTATGACTCGTCTCGTATGATTGCTTGTTCCCCACCAACGAGCCCTTCTAATCCAATCTTATCATCCAGGATAGTACCATTCGGGAACAGTTACTCGTATGGTCGAGCAGTAGTATATTGGAAGGCTCACCTCAACTATCATGGTACCAGGTGCGCAGCTGACCGGGCCAGTTGTGCCTATATAAATCTGGAGTAAGTAGTATATTCTTCTATATTTTCTGTGTGCTATGCGCAGACAGCGTTCTGTGTAGCTAAATCGGCTCATATATATTAACATTAGTTCATTCAAGCCACCGTGCCGGGATTTCGGCGTAAATGTTCAGCAGAACCTCATACGACCGTAGCCAATGCGCTCGGCAGGCGCTTGCGAGGTATTATATTACGTTGGAAGTAAAGTAGGTAGTACCAACTTAACATCTCCCAATGAAAGTCTGCTTTGTCGTGGCTGGTCGGAGTCTTCAAACAAATAGCAGGTATTGAGACTGTCAAAACCCGCTCCTAGTGGCTTTTATAGTATATTTTCCGATTACTGCAAACGAGCTACCCCTTGTTGAGAAGGGCCTATTTTGGGGAACTGAATTGAGCAGAGCCAGTGTGAGAATTATCCTCTATGTCTGTCCCCTATCTGGACTGCAGGAGCTGGAACAAGAGTATTGGGTTTGATATGTTACGCTCCCAACTTCCCAAATCTCGACGTGTAGACCAACGGACAGTCACACCATGATAGGGTGCTGGAACCTTCGCTCCAGCTTAAATTTCTCTCAGGCTATGGGCGGCATGCCCATTTTCCACGGTCTCAGAGAAACATGATTTCTGCCGCGTTCACTCCGGTCCCCAGGCCAGGGGCAGTCTTCGCAGCTCGGATATCATGGTCCTTTCTGTTTGGCACGAACGTTATCTTGTCCTTGAGCGCGTCCGAGATGAAAGTGGCGTCGACCACGATAGGATGTTTGTTCCTGATGAAGAGATCAAGCCTAGTATTCAGAATGTCAAAACTAGACCTCCTTTTACTCAACGTTATAGTCATTCGCTGGCTTCTCCTTTTCGGCGCCAGGTCCGACCATAGCAATACCGTAGCCAACGGTCTTGTCTTTCAATTGAATTATTATAATTAACCACCTCCGAGTATGTAAGAGCCACGAACATGGGGCACCAGGGGATGCCCTTGTCCTCCAGCCAGACAGTCAAACCGGGAGGTATGCGGTTGGGGCATATATCACCCTCTCCATTGAAGTCAGTAGCCCACCTTCGGCCTCGTGTAGTAGCAGCGATACTAGTATCATGTAAGATATTATAAACCCACGCGTCAGACTAACACACTTGGACGAATGGTCACTGATACGACAGAATAGCCCCCGCTGGACATGATACCAAACTGCCGCGTTCGCTCCGGTTCGGAGCGATCAACGACTTCTAAGCGGTGGATATAGAGTTAAGAAAAATACAAGAGAAGAATATCATGGTGCTTTAAGTGTTGTTCCATTTGATGGTTCGATTCATGTTAGTTACATGAGTAGATGATTAAAGGAGTTAAAAAAACAGAGGGGAAGCCGGTGTGTCTTTAACAAACAAGGCAAGCACGCTGCAAGTTGACATCTGATATTCTAGCCCTATTGGATACATTGGTGCTGCATGGTTGCTATCCTGGCCTCCCTTCGCTCAGATAATTCATGGGTCAACTAAGCTCGCACATATTTTTAAACGATTGAACTTGGATAACAATAGGAGCATGACTCTCTCGATCCTGTGGAATGAGGGACATTGGGTTGCAGAGATGAAAGGTCTTACATGGTTGGACTACCAGACACGCATTATCTGCCTAAGTACCACGTTTAGTGTTAGTATATGCGAAACGCCTATCAGCCGCAGGTGTGCTATTTCTTAGGCACTAGAAAGGTTCGCGAAAAGAAGCTGCATGCTTGGATCCCTTGTGACCTTGGGAGTAAGACGCACCTATAAATATATAGAATTAAAAACTATGTTGCGGTATCGATTTCTTCTGTACGATTGTCAAACATGCAAGTGCACTACAAGGTCATATGGATGACAGAAGTTTGTATGAGCTTAGAAGTTCCATGAGTGCTCAGTAGCTCAGTGGCGGTATCACAACGAATCGTAGCACCGGATAATATTACATTGGGCATCGATTAATCACCCCTAATATACTACCCAGCTGCCCGACGTCTATAGTTATAAAGTTACATTGTGTTCTATGTTGTAATTTTGCTAGTCCATATATTTGGCTATAAATGTGGCACAGATTCGCCACAGTTTATGGTTGTAGACTGTGGCTGCGGCTGCGGCAGATCGTATGGAAGATGTAGATCCCGTATATTGCTTTTCAACTATGGGTCTCAGGCTGCCTTTTCCTTCTAGTCGTGACAATAGTATGTTCAATCGAAAGTTCCATGGAATTCCCAACCAATCTGCATAAGGGTGATAGATCATAACAGTCCCTATCGTTTAGGGGGGGAGTGACAATAATAGACCACTACTATTTATTTAGATGCGGCGTTGCTGGAAATAGTCTTACCTTTAGCCTCTAGTTTATTGAATCCACTTCTAAGGATATAAATAACATACCCACTATGCAGTAGATACTTACTCTATTGAATAGTAGATCGAGCATTCTGATACACCACTATTTAATAATGTTATCCACCCCGACAATTTGAAGTCAACGTGTAAAGACACCTCAGTTTATAATCATCGTCAACGAACGGAGAACCATCCCCCGTCAACTCCTCTTTCTAGTACGATTGGTGGGGGCGGATGTTGATCGCATGCGGCACAAGCAAAACGACATTAGAACCAGAGTAGAAAAAGCAAAGGAGAAAAAGGCCCGAGCGGAGATGCATAGACATCACGAGCCCGTCTCAGCCAGTGAGCGATTGTCCATTTCCCCCAACCGACATCCCAACCAGCCTGATATGGCCGATGAGAACATGACACCCCCGTACTATTCGATGCAAGCCTGCTGCATGAGCAAAAAAGCAGACAGGCAATCTAATGAACGTCGACATATCTAGCAAAAAGTATATGATGCAACGATCCAACAGATGGATAAAGAGTCCAGTAAGTAGATAACGCAGTACAGTAGAGGATTCTCGCTAGTCAATCAATTAAATGCCTCTCTAGAATCACGTTGTTGTTGCCAACCCAAAAATTGAGAGCAACCTCCGGTGCAACCTAAAATGCCCCAGTTCTTACCCATGAATCCCGCACACAAGGAACAATCCACATTTCTACACTTTTTTTTTCCCAATACACATTTAGGCTTCTGCAAGAAGAAACTCTCCATGGGGGTTGGATGAAGGGTGGGATGCACAGCCAGTCACCACGGCGTCCACCTGCGCATGTGCGGTGCCCGACAACCCACGTGCCGTCATCATGGAAGGTTATCGCGTACCACAAAAATCCATGAAGGATAATCCAGTTGTAGGGTAAGAACCCTGCAACCAACCCTCCTAGACGCGGGGAGGGGGCGCACGGGCACGAGGCACCGGCCTTGATATGCTCGATGGAATCAAGTGGAAACGTTTGCTTTTCCGTCTACTACTCTTTTAAAACCAAGGAAGTGGAGGTGGTGGTTGTAGTATACGTCCTATTGAAATTACCTCATTGGGGGGGTGTGGTGAAATTCAACCAACTTGTGGTCGGTTGGGTTTTGGGGCGGGTATCACAGGCTTCGTCACCGACTTACTCTTTGTAGTCTGTGTGAAGATAATGACGAAAGCATCTAGGATGGAGGGGGGGATATGGGGATAATCATATTGATTAGTTTGTAATAATAGAAGAGAATATGAGCCCAAGAATGGAGTGGCTTTCTGCAATAAGTAGTTTCTACAGAGTTACTATCTACTTTCTCGGTATGGAAAGTGTGAGTGATAAGCCGGTGTGTGTGTGCGTGTGGGAATTCTACAAAATACGGTAAGATAACGCGAGGATTGAAATCAGGGCCGATTGCCCCCGGAAGCTCCCGGCGCTGTCTACGGCGGGCCTGAGGCTGGCAACCAATCAGCCGGGCCACGGGCTGGTACGGCGGACTGCTTGCGTCGGTAAGAAGGAGGTTCTGGGTCTGACAGGATGGATAAGGGGAACTTTATGAAAGATGTCGATGATAAGAGGGTCGTACTGGAGACATACCAGGCAGTTCCATCCTTAAAGGAGGTCGTCATCCCACACTAATTATCTACTTAGTTTACTGTGTATCTCACCGGAGAGAGAGAGGGGTTCATCTTCAATCAAAGCAATTTAATTTAACTCCTTTTTGCCAGGGATCTTTTTTTCAAAAAAAGGAACAAATACCGTACCTTTCAAATCTGGCATCTACTGAGTTATTTTATTGTTATTTGTTTTATCTTATTTCCAATCAATAATACACACACCTACTTAATTCCCTTTTTTATTTTTGCCCCGAAAGAAGGCGCCTCCTTCCCGGCTGACAGACATTCCATTATTGCTATTCTTACTACTATTGACGGACTGCAACCACCACTCCTTGCGTTTACCCCCCTCCTTCTCCTCTCCGTCTCATTTCCTCCTTCTACTTGCCAAATCTCCTTTCTCTCCTCTCATCCTATTCCTCATCAAAGAACTTCCCAAGGCTTTCTGACCTCCCCCCCTGGTTCTTGTTGGCTCGATCATCCTGGTTCTGCTTGTCTCGACCTGTCGCGTCATCCTTCCTATCAACTCTCCTGCCCAGTAGTACGCTGAGTTAGCGCGTCGCATCGCATCTACCCTGCATACTACGCCTCAGCGTTGCGTCTGCACAGCTGTCCCGACTGTGATCTGCCTTTGCGAACAGTGCACTGTGAGTACCAAACCCTCAAAGAAGAAAATTCCAACCAAATTCCTTTGAGCTCAATTTTTGGTTTTCGTTCCTTTTTGTTCCTTTTTGCCTCCGAACGCGTGAATCTTATACTTCCCAATTGTCCTTCTGAGTGTGGGACTTAGTCATCTGTTCCATTGGTTGGCCTCATGCAATGATTGGCGGATGGTCCTCTGACTCATTTGATAAGCAGATTAGCCACCCTCAGGTCCCCCCAAATAAAAGAAAGTATCTAGATCCTCTTGTTGGTCTCGATCATCACCATGGCTTTCATGAATACCACCTCCAGCATTGCTATGGCCCTTGCTGGCAAGACGGCCTCTGTCGATATCCCCAAGCCGCGCTCCGGTTTCACCCCGGGCGGTCGTGACTCCGCTCGTCCGGGGCATCCTGCCATGTTGCCTACTCCGCCCAACTCCATTTCCCCCACTTTGCCTCCGCAGGGCTTCAGACGCCAGGGCGCTAATCACCCTGGATACTCCCCGCTGAGCTCCTCGCATGTGGAGTCCGATGTTGAGCTCGGAGATGCCGCCGATCATACGAACAATTCGAATGAAGCTCGTCCGTCGGCTCATGATCTAGATAGCACCGGGGCTATCACGCCCGGCATGTTGGCCAAGTGCCATCTCCCGGAAATCATGCTGCAGCATGGCCCTTTGGCTATTCGCCACCTGATGGGCTATTTGACCACTAGTGTTCCGGGATTCTCAGGCATCCCGCCTGCCAAAGCCCGCAGGCTGGTGGTCGCTGCGCTGGAAGGTCGAGGGAGCGAAGACAAGAGTGGCGGTCGTGATGGTGATGTTATCTTCGAGAAGGTCGGCTGGGGACGCTGGGATGCTCGCCGTCGTGGTGAGCCTTTGCGGGATGCGCAACACCTCAACGTGTCGCCACCCGCCAGTATCTCCAACTCTTTCCCACAACGGGGCATGCAGATCCCTACGAAGCGGGGAAGCGTTCAGCCCTATGGTAGTAGCGTCACTGGCGACTCCGCTGTCTTCTCTTACTCGGAGATGGACTACGGTGGACATGATGTCAGCATGCTGGAACATGAGGCTGACAAGATGTCACTCGACGGAAACGAGCGCGAGTACTGCTCGTCGTCTGAGGCCCCGGACGACGAGATGCAGGACGAAGACTGGGGCGAAGAAGACATCACAGACGAGGAAGATTGGGCACAGATAGGTGCTGATGCGCTTCGCGCACGATCATTGAACGCCTCGGGAGGCTTCGTGAATGGGACACATAATTCGCCACAGCTGCGCGGCGGAGGACCTGCTGCGTCGTCGCTGGCGAAGTCTGCACCGCGCAGATTACCGGTTCAACAACACGGCTTTACCCTCCCTGAGGGTGTCATGGGTGACCGCGAGGAGCGTGCTGCAGTCGAGGCGCTCCTCCGACTCGGATCAATGTAATCATATATAAACTTTTGGCAGGCGTTTGTCAAGATCATCTTGTGTTCTTGCAACCCTGCAACGTCTCTTTGAGACTTGAGGCTGGTCCCATTTCCTGATACATACTTTTACGTTCTACGATTACTTTTCTTGTTCAAAGAATACACCAGCAAGCTGGACGACGTTATCGATACGACTGGTTCGATCCTGACGATGCATTGGGTTTGGGTTCTGGGAATGACCCCGGCGTTTTGGCATTTCTTTATACAACATTCACATAATTACATCGACCTGGTACAAAGTTGATGAACTTGTTGCCTATCAGGCGTTCTTGGGGGTGCGTTTCAACACACATACTGGCACCCCGGACCACTCTCCATTCTTGCAATTATTGGAACATATGATTGTTGCATGGCAACAAACTGCAATGGACTACTTCTATCCATTCACTCCATATTGTTTATATGGTTCTTACGACTCAGTGTTGATAGCTTGAGTCTGCCGAGTGAGGCATTGGACATATTTTTTACACATAGAGATAATAAATATACGGTCTATGCTTGGTCTCGGCCACATAGTCATACACATACTCATGCCTTTACCCGTAGAGTTTGTAGTATATAACTAAACAAATTCTTAGTATGCTCTTTGGTTTATCTCATTCACGACAGTTAAATAACATAAATGATTCAAGGCCAAGACACTACTTGATTTACAAGCCCAAATAAACCCACCTTTTTATCCCAATCCAAACCCCGAGCACAACCTATACCGTTCCCTTCCCATCCCAGCAAAGACTAGTAGTAGTAATCTAATCAGACACACTCAAACAACCAAACAACCAGCCAACCAACCAACGCCCACCCACCCCAACAGATATCCATATCATACATACACATCCCAACCCTACCCTACCCAACATCCTCCCCACCTCAACCAACACCCCTATATATAAATAAATAAAGAACTAAATCACCGATCATGCACCTCATTAATCCTCCTCCACACCTCCGCCTCCACCTCACCCAACTTCCGTCCCGCCCACCTCATCCACCCCCACACTCCATCTTCACCACCCTCCGCATCACCCAGATCCACTCTCCCCGACGACGACGCATCCGGCTCATAATGCAGTGGCAGCTGCGCCCCCGCAGAAGTCACTGTCGTAGTGGCCGTCGTGGTAGCTGTCGTGGGGGGCTGGTAGAGGGAGCCGTAGGGTGTTGTGGTCGAGTTAGGGATGGGGTTGGAGGTTTGGGTTTGGGTTGGTGGTCGGTAGCTGCCGTAGCTGCCGTAGCTGTAGCTGTAGCTTTGGGGGTGGGTATGGCTGGATGGGGGTGTTGGGGTGTAGGAGGATGCTGTGGGTGCGGGTGCTGGTGCTGGTGTGATGGTTGGTGGAAGAGGAGGTTCGGCTGGTTTGGGTGCAGGGGGTGGTGGTGGTGAAGGGTTTGAGGTGGTGGATGTTGGAGCTGGATGGTCAGTGGAAGATGTCGGGGGAGGGATAGGGTGGGCGCCTGGTTGGGGTGGTGGTGGGGATGTAGATGTAGATGTAGTTGTTGGAGGAGGGTCTTCGGTGGTGGTGATGGTGGTAGTGGCTGCTGCGGGTGTCAATGGCACTTGGGTGTCCAGGGAATTGGTTGCTTGGGTTGGGAGGTCGCTGGGTTCTGCGGTGGCGTAGATGGGAGAGTAGGCTGGGGCGGTTGCTGTCGCGGAGGTGGTTGCGGGTTGGGTTGCGTCTTGCTCTGGCTGGGGCTGTGTGTCTTGCTCTGCCTCTGGTTCGGAGTCGGCGGCGGCGGCGGCGGCAGCTGGACTGGAGGTCCGGGGAGGGACCTCATCTGTGGTGGAGGAACTGGTCATTTTGGATATAGGTGGAATTGGTGAAGGGGATGTATAAATGGAGGGAAGGAAGCGATAACTATGGGATGAAGCTGGAGCAAGGACCGACGTCATGGAGCTATGTTGCACGTGACGTTGCCATTGGGTCAGGTGACCAGAGGGCTGCAAATTTTCACAGCAACTATGGCATCTACGATACGGGCTAAGAACTGGTTTGATCCAAGGCAAGGCAGGACATACTGATTTTGATACCAAGGTGGAGAAAGTACAGTTGGAAGAAAAAAAGAAATAAGCTTGCGGGCAGTAAAATACAACTGGTACAAGAGGAAATATCACACGATTCTATGGTCAAGATTATTGATATCACTCTTGACGCATATTTCTATCCTCCGCAGCACCTCCGGCATCTGGTAGTTACACCGAGACACCGGCAACCCCATTTCCCCGATATCATAACTGAAACAGCTTGAAATTAATCAAGCGCTTAGCCAGAGCCACCCTTGTACTTCTTGCCGAAGAGGATGAGCTGGACCTGGTCGTAGATAGACAGGACACCAGCACCGGCAACACCACGGAGGATGTTAGCACCGGCACCCTTGAAGAGAGACTTGACACCCTCCTTGGCGACGATCTGGCGAGCAGCATCCATGGAGGACTTGTACTTGACGGCCTCACCGGAGGTCATCATCATACGACGACGGATGGTGTCCAGGGGGTAGGAAGCGATACCGGCACCGGTGGTGACAGTCCAGCCGAGCAGGAAAGAGGCAAGGAAGTTACCCTCGAGAGGACCAACCAGGACAACGGGCTTGATGGAGTCGTACATGCCGAAGTACAGACCACGGTAGACAACGATACCAGCAACGGAGGGACCGAAACCACGGTAGAGACCGGCAATACCGTCGGAGGCGAGGGTCTTCTTGTAGACGTCAACGAGACCGTTGAACTGACGGTCACCACCGCCCTTGGCGGACTTGGCGTCGTTGGCAAGACGGGTACGGGCGTAGTCGAGGGAGTAGACGAAGAGGAGGGAAGTGGCACCAGCAGCCTGAAGCAATTGTTAGCGTGATCGCTCGAATATTAAGCTGGATATAGGGATACATACACCACCGGAGGCAAGGTTACCCATCATCCACTTGGTGTATCCATCACGCTCCTTCTTGTAGGAGAACATGGACTTGTAGGTGTCACGGAAGGCGAAGTTAAGAGCCTGGGTGGGGAAGTAACGGATAACGTTGGCAGTGTTACCACGCCACAGGGAAACAACACCCTCGGAGGCGGCGGTACGACGGAAGCAGTCCATGATACCGTTGTACTTGCGGTCGAGACGACCAGCGCGAAGCATCTCATCCTGAAGGGCAATCGTATTAGCATCTGTTTGGGTCGATCTCATGTCCGGACTGTCCGGAGTGAAAATTTTTGCGCCCGGCTGAATTGGCAATCTTCGGTCGGAGAGATGTCGTTTCGAAGACGCAATTGCAGATCGTGCCAGCAATTTTCGTTCCGGCAGTGCGAGACATTGGTGTTGAGGCTTAACCAACCTGGTTCTGGATGAGGAGCTTGATACGCTCGATGGGGGCGGCAGCAGTCTTGGAGACGGCAGCGGAGACACCACCCACTGTACCAGTAGTTAGTATTAAATTCAGGTCATGATCAGATAATTCGTGTTGCTCGTTGGATAGGAATTGATCGATCGTAGTATAAGGATCGATCATTCGGGGCGAGCTGGAATGCACATACTCAGGAAGTCGACGACGAATCCCTGTGAAAATTTTTCATTAGCCACCTAGTCCGGCAACAACACCATTGAACCGGGCCAAATTGTTGGATAGTCGTGTCTTCAAGGAATGTAGTACTCGATCTTCCATATAAAAGACCAATTTCAACCGATTCCATCGAGAGCGCGACATCCGACAACCTGGCCTTTCCGTTCGTAGGGGACAAGTAGGGACTTACGGGCATGCCGAAGACGGTCTTGTCGGCCTGGTTAACATCACCCTTGGCCATTTTGACGGCTGTGATAACGAAAACTAAGGAAAGAAAGAGAGGAGATGGATGATAGTGCCAGTCAAACAGGACACTTCAAAGGGGATGGAGAGAAAAGGAAGAGAGGAAGGGAAGGGAGGGAAGAAAAAATAGCGAGCGAAGGGCTCTTGTAAGCGGGAAGAAGCGAGCGGAGACGCTAGGACGCTCTTGGGTTTTTCACTGGCCTGAATTTGCAGTGGCAGCGGCGGCGATGGGCGCCCCGGCCCAGTTTCCATTGGCCGGATTGGTTGGCCCGGTACGGAGTAGGGAGGCCCTCCCATTGTTAGGGGGAACGAAAAAAAACAGATGCAAAAAAAAAAAAAAAAAAAAAAAAAATGGACCCGGCGCTAATGCTGGCCCAGGCAACGAAGAGCCGATATCTCCCGATCGCGCCAGTAACCAACTCCGACCGCTGACATTATTGGGAAATACCCTTTGATACCTTAAAGTTACTATGAGTGAATTTCTGGTCAAAGAGGAAGAAAAGCCACTTTCATCTTCATCTCAGCCTTTCATTGTAGCGATTATACGTACGGAATGATATTTTGGAGTATATCAATCTAATAGCCTCTGAAACGGCATGTAGCTCTCGATATTTCTTCCCTTGGTCCTTTTTTTCATCCCTTCCGTAGTCTACCGATCGGTGTACTCGCAATCACCGCTCGGTCCTTTGCTGATTGACCTACAGACCATAATTTACATGTTTGGGCCCTTTCTCCGTAATTCGGCTTCGTAAGATACCCATTCCTCTCCCATTTCCCCGTCTTGACCGAACCAAAGCGTTTTCTTGGAGAGTCCACACCTTCGCGCTCCATCCATGGGGAACCGCCCCTTCTTTCCATCTGGTCCCGGATATCCGATGGCAAACGCTTGCCTCTCGGCCTCCATCTTGTGTACTTTGCCTTACTCGTGCACAACGGCAAATTGCAGGAACGGAATTGTCAATTCGAGTCGGTCTCCGCAGAAATTGCTCGAAGATAATTCAACAAATTTTTACTCACCCAAGTACCTACGCTACTACTTATCTATCTGCAGCATCCAAACGGAGTCCATGGTTTCTGGATTTTCCTACGCGCCACCGGGACTGATCAGGTGCGTGCGGCGTCTTTCGGCTGACATGCCGCGATTTCCCCGTTTTTCTGCTCCGGGCGGAAGTTCTCAGGTACGGAGACAGAGCGAGAGACAAGAGACAGAGACAGAAGGGGGCGGCCAAGGGAGCAGCGATCGCAAACACGGACAACGTCGGTAATATGAAGTATCCCATAGGTTGGTATTCTATCATACTCTCTCTGGCTAAATACTATCAGTTCTTATCATCCAAGCTTGGTTCCCTATGAGTAGTACTACATGGTTATGCTGCATTTCGTAGGCAAGGGCACAGCAGTAGCATATGCTCGTTGCTAGAGGTTGTTATGTTATATACCTCAGACCGTACTCCTTTTTATCCCTCATCCTAGTGTCCGAAGATCGCAAGTAGTCGTCTTATAAGTGCACTAAGGGGTTATTCATTCAACTATCACCACTCTTCAAAAACCGAACAACTATGTTATATTCGTTCATACAAGAGGTATACACATGACCAGTATATCTATCCCGATCCCGACGTTCTTCCACACTATTCCAGTGCCAGCATCATCTTTTCGTATGCAGCCAAAGAAGACACGAGACCTACATTACCCAAACAGGACTTGTCCCAGCCGGGACCCACTGTTTCTGCTTGAAAGTGACTAGTTTCATTTTTCCACCTTGGTCCTCCTCTTTCTGTTTTTTTTTTTTTTTTTTCTCTTCTTTCTTTCCCTTCCTCCTTTTTTTTTATTTTTTAGTTCTATTTTTTGTTTGTTCGACGGGGCGGGCAAACCTGACAAACTGTTCTCTTTTCATCCGGGACCCACCCGCTTAAAGAATATGGGGATACCACTTTTCATCTGCGCCGTTGTGCCAGCAACGGTAGCTTCTGGTGTGGTTTAGGTGTAATTAAGGCTCGTTTATGTAGCATATTGGTTGGGTTAATGTTATTGGAAAGTTCATGATTGGCTGTTTTGCTGTTTATGAATGTCAGTTGCTCCTGCAGTAATAGTTCATTGTTACCATGTAGACTGAACTGTGTTCACATGGTTCGGTCCCCGCGAAAATATATAGCATCAGGGAATTCAAATCGAAAGTAAGTACTACAGTCAATTACTTATCACATATCCAATGATCATCACATGTTCCCCCGACGTGGCACTACAGTAGAGCACCTCGGTTCTATCAAGAGAATTGATATAAAACTAAGTACTACCTGATCATTTGACTCAATAAACTCTTTGCTATGCAGTAGGTAAATATATTTGTAACTTTTGACCAGCTTATCTACCAACAACGTAGACAGCTTTCATTACCGATACGCCGTTATTGAACAATGAAAAAACACTGTCTAGTATATCATAAAATCCCAGATGCATGTACAGTAAGAAGCACCCCAGGTTCAGTTCTTCTTGTTTCTCTTTCTCCTCTTCTTCTTGGGTTCACCCTCACGGATATCAACCTTACCGACATTATCCTTCTCCGGTGTAGGTGCCCGTGGCGCCTCCTCGGAAATCCTGGGGCCTTCTTCGTCACCAAAGGTATCCTTGCGCCATTGCCTTAGACGGGCCTTCTTGCCCAGCTTCCTCTGATCCCGACTCTTCTTCTCAGGGTCACGGAACGATGCAAGCTTTTTCAAGCCCGCAAACTGGTTCAGATGGGTGTCGTCGGCCATGAGGATATCCCGTGCAGTCAATCCAAAACTCTGAGGCGATGTCTCCCGGTAGCGGAATCCAGTAGAATTCTTCTTGGTCGCACCCGGAAGAAGGCTGATATCAAGGTCCAAGTTGCGATCCACGGCCTCCTGAATGCGAAGGCGGTCTTTGCGCGCTTCACGCTTTTGGTCTCGTTTCTCCTGCGCCTTGCTCTTCTTGTTACTTCCCTCTTCATCATCCCCCATATCGACATCAGAGACATCCACGGCGGGCTTCTCCTCTTCCTCGAAGTCGGGCACGAGATCCTTGATATCGATATCATCATCCCACGTAGGCTTCTTCGGATGCTTCTTCTTCTTCCCTGACTCATCACCGCTTCCTTCCTTATCACCCTCCGCGTAGTAGTCTTCACCAAAACGTTTCTGCATTTCCTCCTCCCAGTTCTTGTCATCCCAGGCAGCGTCCAAGAAGCTGACCCAATCTTCGTCAGTCAGCTCATTGGCACGAAGGCCTGCAACCTCCTTGATTTGGTTGACCTTCTCTTGAAGCTCTTCCATCTTGAGCTTCCGCAGGCGGTTCTTTTCTGTCTCGCGCTGCTTCTTCTCCTCTTCCATCTGCTGTCTCTCCGCATCTCTGCGTTTCTTCCGGCTGCTCTTTTCTTCTCTGCGGACCGACTGCTTGTTAGTCAGGTCACGAGAATGGGTGATTAGAGTAGCGTTGATTTTGCTGGGGTCTTCGAAGCGGAAGTTGTATGCCTCTTCGAATGCCTCGGCCCGTTGATCCTCCTCCTCGTCATCAGACTCGAATGGTTGAAGTTCCGATCTACCAGCAGGTATCCATGCTCTTGCCGACATGAAGTTTGAAAGGAAGGTTTCCGGGTCTTTGTCCGCATTTTCAACATCTAGGTTGACATCCTTCTTGGGCTCCGGAAGAGGTTCAGGCGCCGATTTGGCAACAAGGAAATCATCTTCGTCCTCCTCCTCACCCTCATCTTTACCGGCAGCGGCGTGCATTTCGCGGACAACCGCATCCTTCAATTCCTCTTGCTCCTGAGCGTAGGTCTTCGGCGCGTCAGATGCCTCCTCATCTGCTAGGTTGGCACCACTCAACAGATTCTCACGATGATAATCACGAAGAGTCATAGGCTTTTCTTTCTTTCCAGTGCCTTCGGTTTTCGCCTCCTCGTCGGCTGCGGTGTAGAAAGTGGCATTGCTATCATACACCCGAGGGTCCTTTGATCGGATTGCGTTCAGCGTGGCCATGATTTCGGCATCCAAAGCGGCGGTAGCCAATTCTCCGTCCTCGTCCTCTTCTTCAGAGGTAGAATCATCCTCCGAGTCGCCGGACTCATCTTCACCATCGCGATCACGACGTTTGCCTAGGACAGATTTTCCGTATTTGGACTCCACTATTGTAGAACAAAGTTTAGTTTCTCTCCATACGCAGGTTATAAAAGTATGAAATCTTACATTGCTGCTTCTCTTCTCTCTTCTTGTTGTATTCGAAGCGGCGCGCATACTCTTCATTGATCTTGAATGTGATGTCCTCGTTGGTGATGGGAACTCCGCCGGACTCGTCTCCTGAGTCGCTGGAGCTGTCGTCATCGAGCAACTTGCGCGACCTCTTGGCTGGGGGCTCCATTTCGAAATAACAGACACAGCTGTTGGGAGATCACTAGAACGTGAAAAGCGATCGATGGAAAGTGGTTATCTCCGACCAAATGCGCCTCCCAAAAGAAAATAATAGCGGTTGCCGGCAGAAAAAAAAAGTCGGCGGGGCTCACCGCCCTACAGGGCCCTTTGTTGCCTGGGGACCCAAGGCCGTCAAAGGGAACCACTGACGTAGCCAATTAGATCATGCGCGGGCCTGTATCCGCCGATGGCTCGAGCAAGAGGCGCTGTGTCTCCTTGTAAGCTTCCTCCACTAGCCATGCTACTTTCCCACCTTCACCTGTATCCCTGAGATTTTCGGATGCTTCATTTCTATCATTATTCTTTGACTTGACCAGGGGCCTCATTGCTGCCTTGTCTTGCCGCTACTTCTGCTCGCATCAAGTGTATGGCTGGTGACATACACTAGATGTCGACTCAGCCGCAGATCCCATTACCCCAGGTCGGGAAGCTCGTCAGCGTCGTGTAAGTCCTCTGAATCGGCTCTGCTTCTTCGAATCGCTGCATAGGTTCCTTTCTAACCCTTCCGGTAAAGTCCAGTTGGTCTAAAGGAGGCTGCTCTCGACTCGCCCACATTCCGAGCCACCACCCTTCACTTCTCCGACCAGATCGAATTCCTCGAAAGATGGCTCGACGGTTATGCGAGGGCCGCTTCCAAGCTCTCTTCGGAGCTTGCGGCAATGGAAAGCGCGGCGAACATCTTCCTGTCTTATTCTACGAACCCCCTACTGGTCTCCGAAGCCGTCCTGGATCATGATTACACGCTGCAGTCGATGAGGAGGTGTGGTGACAGCACCAAGGACATGTGGAATGGGCTGATATCCACTGTCAAAAAGATGGAAAATCTTATCGCTGAGCCAATCCGGGCCTTCATGCATGAAGATTTGCGGACTTTCAAGGTACTTGACTGGTTGCCCCTGAAATTCGTGCGGATGTGGCTCTTACCCCGCTATAGGAGATCCGTCGCAACCTCGAGCAGACACAGAAACAGTACGACTATCTGTTGGCCCGATACTCGTCGCAATCGAAATCGAAGGAGCCTTCTTCATTAAGAGAGGATGCCTTTCAACTCCACGAAGCTCGCAAAGCTTACCTCAAAGCGTCGATGGACTATTCGATACAGGCCCCCCAATTGCGGAACGCGCTCGACCGACTGCTAGTCCGGGTTTCGTATGATCAGTGGCGGGAGCTCAAGATATTCCACAACAGCAATGGCACGGCGTTCGCGAAATGGGGTCAGGAGATGGATCGCATCAAAGGCTGGGCTCACGAGATGGAAGGGAGCGAGCGATCTTCCAAGCGGGAGCTTTTGACTTCGAGGAAACAGATCGAAGAAGCAGCAGAGAATGCAGCTAGGCCATCTCGAGAACTAGAAGACTACTCTTTGTCCACTGTTCCCTACCTCGGCTCCCGGCCTCTGTCGACAACCAGCATGAGCAAGGAGGCTAGACCCGAGAAGCAAGGATGGGTGTTCCTGCGAACACTTTCTGGCAAGCCTACCCGGACTATCTGGGTTAGACGGTGGGCATTCTTGAAACACGGCATTTTCGGCTGCCTTGTCCAAGGCTCGCGAACAGGTGGCGTTGAAGAGAGCGAAAGAATAGGCGTCCTTCTCTGCAGTGTTCGGGCTGCCTTTCAGGAAGAGCGCAGATTTTGCTTCGAAGTTAAAACCAAGAGTAATACCATCATGCTCCAGGCTGAAACTCAGAAAGAACTCATGGACTGGATTGCTGCCTTCGAGGCCGCCAAGCGGAAGGCTCTGGAAAATCCGGCTAGCACTGATCTTTCAGTGTCCGGCAAAGTTACTGTTCAGGATCCTGCTTTCGCAATCTCTCAGCCCCCGGCTCCCGAGTTTGCTGCCGATCCTTCTGATTCGCTCACTCCCCGTGCCAGTGACGAGCAGAGCTCTGCAGATCGCAGCGGGATGCTCGCCCTACCTGAAAGAGACCCATCCGCCATGAGGAACAGTAGTGACCTCAGCAGTTATAGGAGGTTGACGACGCTGGATTCCGAAAGCTCCGCACGCGAACACGCATCGCGTATAATGCAGAAGTTGGACCTTCACCGCAAATCAAACAATGCAGTGGCGCCGTCCACTTCGTTGCCGGGTGCTGGAGGTGGCATAGCAAGCTTGATATCTGCCAGTCACAGTGCTCTTGGGCCGGGTAGCCCCCCTTTGCCCCTCGATGTTGATGGGACTAGGACTCGTAGCTCGACATTTGGCAACGATCCCCCCTCTACTCTTGCCCCAGGCACCTTGGCAAATCCACCTGCCCCAACAACTATGAGCAAGGCCGCTGTGATCGTAAGCAATGAAAGGGGTATAGGACTGGGCCAAGCCGACAAAACCGGAGGAATGCCGAGTGGCATGATGGCTAATCTGTGGGGTAGTTCAAACTGGGGCTTCATGAATCGGATTGAACGTGAACGCATAGGACTACCTGGCGAGCAGGACTCAGGCCCCTCAGACAAGCCGGCCTCGCCAGCGAATGATCCATCTAAACAATTCTTGACAGCCGAAGCTGACACGTCTAGTGGGTCCCCAGGGAATAAGCCGCCGAAGTCTGGGCCACGTCACAGGCAGACGGTGAGCCTTGACGGAGACTCGTCCAAGATGCAGCGGGCATTGCTTGGCGATGCGCACGACTATCCCAGTTACTACCCGCAGCAGCTTAAGATTCAGGATGCGCAGTTCCGGCTGCTATTTCCTGACATCAAAAAAGATGAACCTCTGGTTATGGTGTTCCGCGCTACCTGGAATCCTAACGATCAGCAAGATTTCCCCGGAAGGGCCTACGTTACGACCCAAAACATTTACTTCTACAGCCACCATTTCGGTCTAGTACTCACGACGTGTATCTCATTGGAGAGTATTAAAGAAGTTACTGCTGCCCCAGGAAGGGACTGTGACTTTTTGTATCTTCATATGATCCCTCCTCCAGGAGACGATACTCCGGGTCGTGGAACTGTTAAGACATTCCTTGAACCATTGCGACTTCTTCAACGGCGACTTAACTTTTTGATTCATAATTCAACTGCCGCCGAGCCACTGGGCCTGGAAGCAACCTTCAAGACCTTGAACCGGATGGAGAGTGAAGCACTAACGCGGACTCCTAGCCTCGATAGCTGGGAGGATGTAGCTGCTGGGGACGATCATGTTGAGGGAGGAGAAAGTGGCACGGAACCTCCGAAGAAAGATGTTGGTGTCTATATTGATAACGACCTGGACATGCATAAGAAGAATGGCAATGGCAAGGACACTCCCAAGTTCAGACTACCAACGCAGCCTGTTCAATATGTACCCCAAGGAGATCTTCATCTGGCAGCCGAAAAGGTCTTTGATACAAGTGCTAAAGCGGTCTTCCATATTCTTTTCGGAGACAAGAGCGCCGTCTGGCAGCTTCTCCTTCATCAACGGAGAGCGAAGGGTAAGTCAAGCTCAGGGCTAACGCTGGCCATTGCTAATTGAGTACAGGTATCAAACAAGGACCCTGGGTCAGACAAGAGTCCAACCATCTTAGACGAGACTTCCATTATGAAATTGAGACGGCTGATGCCCTTGGTACGTTGGATACCCTAGCATGCCATGTATCGTTCTCACTAACTCGGTCTAGGACGTACCCATACTAAGGAGATCTCGGATTATCAGATGATTGATGTCCTGAATGATCATCTCTGCTATGTGATTACAGACAAGCGGACGCCTTGGCATCTTCCTTTCAAGAGATCCTTCAGGCTGGTCAGCAAGGTTGTGATTACATTTGTCGCAAAGGGAAAGTGCAAGCTCTCTATCTATACTAAAGTGGAGTGGCTGTGGTCCCCATATGGCCTTCAGCGTGAGTTGTTGCCCCTAGGAGAGCCATCGGCGCTTGCTAAGATATCTTAGATATTATTGATAAAAACGCCACCAATGATCTGGAGCAAGACGCGTTAGATCTTGTCGATCTAGTTGGCGACCAGGTCCGCAGGCTCGGCGCGCATAGTCGTACCAAGAAGGCCATTACAATTTTCGGACACATTGGACGTCAAAACTTCTCCTCCCAGTTCTCGCCACAGACCGACCTACAATTGAAGCTGCGCAACCCTCGCATTCAGAGGTCTCTGCCACAGCTTCTCTTTGAGACGTGTGCATCTTTGACTGAGAGCATTGTTTCTGACCTGATGATGTGGATGTTCGCTTTCCTACGTTGGGTGTGGAAGACCACACACGCAAACAAGGTCATTCTCATCTTATTATTGTCGAGTATGTTGATCAATGGGTTCTATTCGTCCCGCGATGCCTATGAATGGTGGCACGACAGGACTGTTGGGAACTTCATGGCCCGCATCGGAGTTAGCCCCGACAACGTCATGACCAAAGCTATTTACATGAGAGATATCGACGACGCGATCGCCAATACAACGATTGGCCACGGTAGTGAAAACGTGAGTGATTGTTTCGCAACCTTCCACCAGCAGACCGTACGCAGCCCAGGAAACACAATCTCTCTGGGAACGTCAGGGTTCCGGGACTCCATGACCAGGAGTGCAGCCCGACGGATTCAGCAAACGCGCGAACGGTTGGGTTCATACCGACACGATCTCCTGGTAGCTCTCCGCGTGGTCAACAGCATCGAAAGAGAAGTAATCCAAAGCGAGTGGGAGCGATGGTTGCGACAGGAATTGCGACGTTGTCGCCAGATCCAGATTCTTCTCGGTAAGAATGAAGGTGAAGAAGACGTGGACCTCGAGGTGGACCGCTCAGGGCCGAGTGTCTTTGCCGAACTCACCGATGATGTTCAGCAATGGTACGAAACGTACTGCACTAGCTGCCAGGCGGAACACGCACAAATTGAGGATGAACGTCCCTTAGGTGCGCCATGAGTTGTTCGTTTTCGACAACATGGCTAAGGATGCATGGCTGTTTTTGTCTGTCCCCGTTACTTGCTTGTTCCCACGATACCCGGCTGCAGTTGCTCATCTGTCCGTTTCGTCGAATGCCTCTGCGAGGTACTTGGTCCGGTTCGTCTCTTGTTGCTGTCTGTCATCCGTGTATATAATTCGATCTTCTTCGGTGTAAAGATAAATTGGAAGGAATAGCTTGCTTCAATGCTTCTTTCTGTAAGCTCAGCAGCATATGTCTTTGAGTCCCTTCCCCTCCCCATCGTAGATTAATTCTGCCTCGGCTTCACCGCACCATCCTGCACAACATAATACACCACCGTCCCATCACCCCCCATCCTCCTATCCACCATAGCCAACAACAACCTCTTCCCACCCCACTCCTTCGTAGCCCTCGCCTTCCCCCGATACTCATAATACTCCCTCAACTTCTCCGCCTTCTCCCCTGCCCCTCCTCCTCCTTCCAGTACTTCTCCTTCCCCGCTACCCTCAGGCAACGAATCAAACACTCCCGCCAACTTGCGCAGCGTCCATGACTCGCCCTGAACCGTGGGGAGGACGAACATGCGCTCTAGCTCGACGTCGTCTTCGCGCAGCCCGCGCTCCAGCATGAAGAGTTGCTCGTCCGGGTGGATGTAGAGATGGTGCGGGGGAATGCCGGAGATGAGGTAGAGGGGTTGTTGCTGTTCGGAGTTGCTGGGGAGGTGGAGGTTGTGCACGCGCAGGGAGGTCCACAGGTGTTGGTGTTGGAGGTTGTGCAGGATTTGGAGGGTGTTTGCGGAGAGGGGGGTCGGTGGTGGCGTTGTGGTGGATGAGAGGAGAGTTGTGAGGGCGGAGGGGGGAAGGGGTTTTGTTGCGACCATTTCTGGTGTTGATGGAGTGGCTTGTTGTTCTTGAGATGGTGGTGGTGGTATTGTGGCAGTCATGGTGGCGGTGGTTTTGGTTGTAGATGGAGATGGTAGAGTTGAGGCGGAATTGGAGGTGTAGCTACAATGGAGTCTATAAATTCTAATTGGGTTAATTAATTTATGCGTTTGTGGTCATGATTGAAAGTGAATAGATGGATAGGACTTACCTGGCACTGGTAGATAGGTAGGAACTATAGTTCGCAATTGTAAGTTCTAGAATTAAATTAAGGGTCGAACAAGTGAGACCGAAGAATGAGACTCGGCGGGGCGGAAGGAAAGAAAGAAAAAAAATAGGGCGATCGCGCCGAGATTCCGCGGCGGGTTTTGGAGACGCGCAGAAGAACACATGGCATCATCGGTTTCTTTGCTCAACTATAAAGTCAACTGTCTGCTCCATCGAGGCTTTGTTTGACTGTCTGTCTATTTTCACATACCTCTATATTCGTCAGTGTTTGGCGATTCAATACTGATTATATTCTTGCCCTCGTCCTCTTTCTTATCTTTCTGCAAACAACCTGGACGAAGTATAAGCGCTGCTTAATTGTTCCTCGTCGATCATGGCGCGCCAGAAACAAGCTGCGCCTTTACAACGCGCCACGTCCTCTGAACTGATGCATATGCCTCCGGATGATTTGCAGTCGCTGGATAAGAAGATGGATGGGAAATCTTCCGTCGCAAATGGAAGTGCTTCTGGAAAGCATGCGCCGCAGGAGAATGCGCCGGACACCCCCGGCTTGATGCAGCTTGCGATCTGTGTTCTTGGAATCTACGCTTCTTTGTATGTCTTTCGTTCGTGGTGTTGAGAAATTTGAGGTCATAAAATGCTAACTGTGACTGTTTTAGTCTTTCCTGGGGTGTTCTTCAAGAAGCCATCACCACCGTATCCTATCCTACTCATCCTCCGACTGCTGAAGTCCCCGAACCACCGACAGAGCGCTTCACCTATTCGATTGTCCTGAACACGATTCAGTCGACCTTTGCCGCCATCACCGGCTTCCTGTACCTATTCTTTTCGACCCCGTCCGGCCAGAAGATCCCCTCTCCCTTCCCAACCAAGAAAATCGTCTTTCCCTTGCTCCTGGTCAGCATCTCCTCGTCTCTCGCATCGCCCTTCGGATATGCCAGTCTCGCGCACATCGACTACCTCACCTTCATCCTCGCCAAATCGTGCAAGCTTCTGCCTGTCATGTTCTTGCACCTGACCATCTTCCGCAAGAGATACCCTCTGTACAAGTACGGTGTCGTTCTCCTGGTCACCCTCGGAGTCGCTACATTCACCCTCCACCACCCCGGAACCAGCAAGAAGGTCGCCGCATCAGCCGCTAAGGGCCAGTCCGGCTCAAGCACATGGGGAATCTTTCTCCTTTCCATCAACCTGCTCCTGGACGGCCTCACGAACACCACCCAGGACCACGTCTTCGGCTCTCCGCAGCTGTACACGCGCTTCACGGGACCGCAAATGATGGTTGCTCAGAACGTGCTCTCAACCGTCCTGACGAGCAGCTACCTGTTGATCATGCCCCATCTGTCCTCGACTGGCATTTTGCACAACCTTCTGCCTTTCCCCATTCCCCCATCCACAGAAACTGAGCTGAACTCCGCCATTGGCTTCCTGTCCCGTCACCCGGAAGCCCTGAAGAACGTGCTCGGATTCGCCGCCTGCGGAGCCATCGGACAGCTGTTCATCTTCTACACGCTGTCGCGCTTCTCATCCTTACTCCTGGTCACGGTGACGGTCACGCGCAAGATGCTGACCATGCTCCTGAGTGTGTTCTGGTTCGGCCACTCCCTCTCCGCAGGTCAGTGGCTGGGCGTGGGTCTTGTCTTTGGCGGTATTGGCGCTGAAGCTATCGTTCAACGGCAGGAGAAGGCAGCCAAGGAGCGAGCGAAGGCTGCTAAGAAGCAGTAAGCGGTAATATATACTCCGCCTTATGATAGATTTGTATTACTTTTCTGTATATGTACATATAGTTTCATTATTAGACTTGATCTGATCTCATAGATTGATTGATCAACTGGTTTTCTTCATACAATATTCATACCAATCCTAACCTAGCCCTAACATGACTTAATAAAAACAAACACTTAGTAATATGATAGTTTACTTCCTCCCCTCAACCATAATAATATGGTACCCAAACCCAGTCTTCACATCCACATACTTGGGGTTTCCCGTCGTACTCGGCTCCAGATCATACGCCGCCTTCTCAAACGTCGCATCCAGACTGCCCCGGGTCTTCCAGCCAAGGGAGCCGCCTGTACCAATTTCCCTTAGCATCAACATCACCAAGCCAATAGTCCACGCCGAGGGAGGAATGAACAACAAATAGAACAGAAGAAAAATTAGAGGAATACATACCCTGCCGAGCCTTATCCTCCGAGAATTCCCTCGCGACTTCGTCGAATTTGGCTCCGTTGCGAAGCTTCTCTAGGGCTTCTTCCTTTTTGGAGAATTTCTCGCACTGAAGCTTTGTCAGTTATTGTACCCGGTCGCTCGATTATTGTTATATGCATAGCCATCATCTTCTCGTCTTCATTGACAGATACACATAGGTAGATGGTAGGAGTATATCCCCATCACATAGAGAAATACACCCCACCGCCAAACCAAAGCAAGAAGACCACCTACAGCCATACAAACCCAAATCCAGCACAACAAAAGAAATACAAAGAAGTGGAGAGAGACAGAGGAGATACGTACAAGAATATGTCTCACGTTAATAGCATTCGCAGGCTTGAGGCCCTTTCCGCCGCCTTTGCTGTTGCTGTCTCCGCCATCCTTGCCCTTCTTGTCGCCGCCTTTGTTCTTGGGTGCCATGGTTTATTACTTCTTTAAGTTGAAGTTGAGTATGTGAGGAAGATAACGAGGACGCGTAGTGAAAGGGGAAGATGCAGTGGTGATGGCTGAATGAAAGATGATGTTTGCTGTTGCTGTTTGCATATGAAGCAAATGACTTCCCCCCGCCGAGGAGAGGGGATGCTTTGTGGTGGGGTGGCGGCCTGAGGCAGATATACAACCAATGCTTTGCGGAGCGTAGTTACACGCTGAGTGGGTGATCTTACTTATACTTCCAATGTGTCTGGTAGGGAACTCGCAGCTGATTAGTTGGGGGTATGGCTTCTGTTCAGTGTCTAGGAGGTATGAACACTTCTCTGTCTCTTTGGATGACTATAACGTGAACTTTCCCTAGATATAACTAATTAGTCACCGCTGACTGCTCCGGTAGATCTAGACCGTAGATCTGAATGATGCACAGTAACCCTCATGATCGAAACCACTACAGAAAAAGGCCTTCAAGGAAACGCTTATTAAGTCTTCCAAAGGTTCCTTCATTACAGGCCCCTGGAGGCACCATTATTCTCTTTCTCCTCCTTACCTTCCCTTCCGTATTCAGCCCAGACAATTCACACGCATTTTAGCCCTTCTCGTATACCGTGGATACTCTTCTAGAACACAGCCAAACAAAACACCACCACCATCTCTCTCGCTTCATCCATAACCTAATGAAGATCTTCCCTGAAAGCAGCTTCTTCCAGGAGGGTCGGGCCCCTGCGCTTCCTTCACTAGCAGAAGTACGAGACCTCAACTTGAAGACAGGCAATGTTGCCGCCACAAACCTCAACTATCCTCCTTCTGTTATAATCCCATCATTGGGAGTAGTCATCAAATATGGTCTTAGTGTGAGCATTGTTGAGGCCCAAACACAGATCATGGTGCGCGAGGAATCCCAGGGCCGCATTCCTGTTCCCGAGATCTTCGGCTGGATCGAAGATAATGGACAGACCTTCATATATATGTCACTGATAGAAGGTGACACTTTAGCAGATCGATGGGGTGGTCTAAGCGATGACGAGAAACAAGCTATCTGCGAGGAACTTCATCATTATGTCAAGCTGTTGCGGACTTTGGAACAAGATCCGCGAGACAAGTACATTGGTGAGTTGAATATAATATCTCTCATTACTAGTACTAGACTGAGATCCATGAAGCTGACCAATTATATCATTAAGCAACCTAGGCAAGAACCCACTGACGGACATCTATGTTATAGACCGTCCGGAACTGGTTGGCCCGTTTCAAGGCGAAGATGCTGTTAAGCAACTCCAGGATGCTTGCGGGATCGAAATCGATGATGATTTAGTATCGCCCATTGTGTTCACACATAATGACCTGATTTCGCCTAATATCATGATAACCCCGGATCCAAATCCCAAAGTGGCTGCCCTTAATGACTGGGCACAGTCTGGGTGGTATCCTGCATACTGGTAGTATTGCAAGTGCCGGAAGGTACAAATGAATGCGGAGTGGTTTTGCAATGAGCTTCAAGAAGAATGGAGGAATGTGTACCTCCCATTGATACTGAACCCTGTGGACGATGAGACGACTTATTATCCTTGGGTTTATTTTGTGATGACTAAAGGGATGTAAATAGCCAGGTTCATAATATAATATGATAGTATGGGTTCATAGTAGAATAATGATACATATTTTGTATCCATTCTAGTGAGAGCACCGATAGCTTTGTTCCTCTACTGGCCATATTCCTCCTCATATAGTCTGAGCTTCGGTGATAGATAATGGCTCGCTGAAAGCTTGCAGACGAGCATATCGCGGCTTGGATCTTGCTAATAATTGGAACCCTAAACTAGAATATAGTAGTAGATAGGTAGTACTTAGTAATGGACGTCCACCACACAGTCTCTCCCTTCAGCGAACCAGGTTACCAGAGACAGCTTGAGAAAATTGATAGTAGCGGCACACATCATCATTCATGGAACCATCCGATTTGCTAATTCACTCGAGTGTCAATGTATATGAAGCTCGATGATGATTTATTCGAAGTAACTTCAGTCCCGGAGTATAGTTAACGGCTAAGCTTTTTTTGTCGAGTCATGAGCTGTCAGCAGATGTCAGGTGAGGAGCAAGTTAAGTGAGAGCAAGTGGCTTCTATTCTTATCACCCACACGCCCGGTTACACTGTAACTTGGGCATCAATTCATTGTGATGGAGTAAACACTACGTGCTTACGTACCACATCACGGCCAAAGTGGGCAGCCATTGCGTCTCATCGTGACGACATGCCATTCATCGGCATCATCACCTACTTCTTATTCCCAGATCAGCCATTCATCCCCAGTTATTCATCCCGTCTGGGTTCCCGGTCTACGCTCAACGCCCGGTAAGTTTCACTACGATCCCCCCTTCTTTCTTCGTGACCCCCCGCTGTCTGATCGCCGGCTTACCGTGTAACCAACTCAACGGACTTGTTCTGATAGATTAAACCTCTCCTACTAGTCGTCATCCAACCCCTCATCGAACAACAGGGATAGTCTATTTGCTCTGTGCTCCCCGGGATCGACTCCAGCAAATGAGAGCCGATCTTGAGTCTGCCCGCATCAAATCACTGCCGGACGATGGCTTCTACATAGCGAATTTCATCTCGGAGGATGAAGAGGAGTTTCTCCTCCGAAAGGTGAGTGAGTTACCGTGGCTTTACTGTGCAGTGGCCTAAGTTCATTCAGGCCCTGTGGGGGAGGTTGGGCGCTCATTGGAACCCCGGCTATAGATAACGACTGCGCCGCTACCCCGCTGGACTCATCTGGCTCACCGGCGTCTTCAATCCTGGCCCTCGGCCCTGACCAAATCGAACGCGCTCATTTCCTCCCCGTTGCCTTCTTGGCTCGTCTCACCCATCATTACCCCTCGCTTCGACTCCTTGGGCCTTTTCGCCGACGCCCCGCATCGCGCCCCGAATCATGTTCTGGTAAATGAATACCGCCCGGGACAGGGCATAATGCCGCATGAAGACGGTGCTGCCTACTACCCGCTCGTAGCTACTGTGAGCCTGGGAGCTCCTATCGTGCTAGATCTGTACGAGAAATGTGAGGACGGCGATGGGAACGGACATGGCCGGCGTCCGGTGTATAGGATTCTGCAGGAGAGACGCAGCCTGCTCGTTACCACGAAGAGTATCTATACCGACTTTCTGCATGGGATTGCAGAAGCCTCCAGGGATGAAGGGCTGGGCGCAGAATCCATCTGCAACTGGGATCTGTTGAGGGAGCCAGACAGGTATGAGTGCGGCTGCTTGGAGAGGGAGACTAGGATAAGCTTGACTTATCGAGACGTGCTCAAAGTTGCAAGTCTCGGGAATACGATGAGGTTCCTGGGCAGTCGGTGACGCGAGGCATCCGGGACTCATGTCTCGGGGCAATTTCCCCGCTGGTCTCATGCTACATAATTAGTAAACCAAAGGGATCATGTTCCATCTCTCCCGCACAGATTCCACGCCGAATTTTCGCATATACCACTGCCTGGTGTTCGCAGCGGTGACGCCCAAGTTGATAACGACAAATACGAGAGCGGACAACAGCGACTTGTTTACGACCTCACCCTTGGGCGCGCCCAGCAGAGCCAGCGAGAGATATATCACACACTCTGCTGTATAATGCGGACAGATAATCCCGCGGAAAATGGGATGAGTGGGTAGGGTATACTTCTTCAGAGAGAAGAGATAATGGTGGCAGTCGTGCTGGACGCCCGATGCAATCAAGAAAAGAGGGATGCAGACAAAGGTGCGGAGAGACGGAGCTATCGTAACCTTGACGTCGTCGAGAATCACTTTATGAGACAGCAGGGCTCCTAGATGCGATCAGTGGGGTTCCGTACACTAGCCTGTCAGTCGGAGTGGTACCTGCTCCTTCAATCCATAAGGCAACGGATACTGCTAGGTAAAATGCAAGGCCTACGAGCCAGTGAACAAACCACATTCTCGAGGCCGAAGGCTTGGCGAAGGCGCTGCACTCATATAGCCGCCTTGCACCCTGGATGAGCATGAGCGCCCAGCACAAGAAGACTTGCTGTATCGACATGGACTGTTGCATATGTTCCGGACTGATTCTCGTCGCAAAGGCCTGGAACACAGCACCCTGACACAAAAGCTGCGCAGCCCAGAAGACCGAAGCCAGAACGGAGGCAATGTAGAATTGTGTGAAGTAGCTGTGAGGGACTGTCAAGGCGGCAGCATAGTCAAGAGCGCGGGCTGCCGGAGAGTCCGAGGACGCCGGGGGTGAGGACTGCGAGGATTGCGAGTCGGCCGTCGAGGTTGTACGAGCGCCATAAGGAATGAAGCGTGAGTGAAGCGAATCTGGCAAGATGCTGACGGAGAGGATCTAGGTAGGATATTCTGGGTTTAGTTTTGATGCAGAGTCATTTCGCAACGTCGTCTGCCTCGAATTTGGAATGGCAACATATCGGTGCATACCGTGCAGGATGCCAAAAGAAAAAAGGCTCGAAGGGCGTCGATGGCGTCAATGTGCGTGGAGGAAAGAGCTGTATCCACCAGGTTGAAGGGAAGCTCCATTGCGACCGGAGTCCGCCGCCAATGCGGAGTAGGACTTTTGCAGCGGAGGGGGGGAGGGGGGAGAGAACAGCTAATGGCCACACCAAGGTCCGCCGGCTCCTATAATTGGTGACAGAGAGTCTAGACAACAGGAGAGAAGCTGGAGAGGATGCGAGAGAAAGGCAAAGAGAGCGAGCTGCGCCCCGGGCCGGATGGTATCATGGCACCGGGGCGAGGGAGAGGAGGCTCTGGTAAAGTGGTAATATTACGGTTACAAAGGGTAGAGGCTGTCATGATGATGCGACACGTTCAAAAAGCTCGAGATGTGGAGAACAAAAACCACCGAAACCACTCCACAGCCAAGGGGATGAGCGAGATGAGCAGTCATAAATCATAAACAGGCCCTCCCCGTCCGAGTAGGAATCGGCGTGTGTTTGATCCACCAGGGTCTCGTGAGAAGGAAGCAGCTTGCGAGCTAGACCCGAGACTAGAGCGGCCTCTTCATCCTCCTGCAATAAACAGACCTCCCAAATGACCGGGTCATCGGAGGTCCGGAGGGAGGAGAGGACTTGAGGGAGAGGAGCTTCAATTCTCCTCCGTCCGGTGTGTGTGTGTATGTGTATGCGTGTGTACTACCCCAGCATACTCGGTATTTGAAATAGGGATTGATTTGGATCAATCCAACATTCCGGATCACCGGACAACTTGACTCTTTCACTCCTTCACCACAACATGACCCCCCTTTTTGTCCCAAAGGACTCGGACGATCCATGGACGGGGGTTGAGGTAGTAAAAAGTCACCCATGCAACGCCAACCAAAAAGGCCGCCCACCATCATTAATTACCACCACAACAAGCTACACTACTAAACTAACATAACAGCAACAGCAACAACAGCAGCAGCAGCAAAGAGGAAGGGGGGGCAAAGCGGGGCGATAAGCTGGAAGCAACCTTTGCGATGACTGGTCTCAGCCGAGGATGGGAGGAGATCTGCTGTTGCCCAGTGGGTCGCGCTCTTTTTTTTTTTGCAGAACCCTTCTAGGCTGAAAACAGCAAGAACCGGGTCGCTCGGCCATCAATAATTGGTCAAACCAGGGGACGAGCTGATGCCTAGCCTGATAGCCTACGCAGCTTCCAAGGGAAATGACCCAATGGCGACGAGAATTGGGAGGGGACTGCCCATCTGCTAATCTGCCACTAAACTGGCACTGACTGCCATTTGACTGGCTCCCCCGTCCCGTCACTTTCCTTTTCCTTCGATTCTGTGGTCCCCCCTCCTCCCTCCGTCTCCTCCGTTCCAGAGCCCGAGTTTCAGACGCAAGAGTGAGTCCGACCAAAAAAAGTAAAAATGAAAAGGAAAAAACAGTGGGCGCTATGCAGTCAGCTCCGGCGAAGGAGAGGAAAACCGAGAGAGAAAGAAGAAAAAAAAGAAGAATAGGGAAAATCAGTTAGATGTTTTTTCCGCCACATCGTTCCTCGACAGAGTCACTGGTCTTGACCGCCCATCCCCGCCCGCTTTTGGGCCTTCTCGCAGGATACTAACTAACTAAAAACTGTGTACTAATCATTTGAGTTTCTGGATCTGGGTCGCGCGAGTCGACGCATTCGACCCTCAGGCAGAACCGGCCAGCAAGGCCAACAAGGCCAGCAGGCAAAGAGCAGGCTTTCCCCCGGTCGGTCGGGTCGCTTCAATCACGGCTGCAGCTGGACTTGTCCGTCGGAGGTGGGATTGGATGGATAGTGACTGGCGTTGCCCCCCGCTGTACGTAAGGATCAAGGAAGGTAAGTCAGTCTGGTCAGCAGTAGCTGAACTGGTCTCCATCCATTCCATCTTTTCCAAGGTGTCATAGTTGCAACTAGTACCTGGTTATAGGGTAGATACATCCCGTCTGCGTCCGTATTCAGCCTGCGGAAACGGCCAGTGTGGTAATAATCAACACTGACCTACCCTCTTACTGCTTCCCTGACTGCCCATCATTTGCCGTTTCATGGGGTTCGAATAAACGTAAGTACTTTACTTGGCGGGTCACGAATTGTCACATCCCCAGCTATCTATTTATCGAATTTATTCAATTTAATCCACACTTTCCACAGGCCACAGTAGCAGCAAGAAGCAGCGGCAGCAGCAGCAACAGCAACAGCAACAGCAGCCCACCCCTCAATTTCAACGAAATGAATTTCAATACCCTGAATTTCTGTACCGTACTTGGTCAGACTGGGGGACTATCTATGACTAACCAACTAGCGAAAGGCATTTGCTCCGCTGGTGGCCAAATGGCAAGGCCCCCGGTGGTAAGTTTCCCGGGACGAATACTAACTATGACCACTATGACCACGACGACTCGAACGATGAACTAACGATTGATTGATTTCTTCTGCTTGCTGCTTGCTTTGGCTGTTGCTGCTGCTGGCTGCGGCGGCGGCGGATGACTCCTAGCAATCATCATTCATCCCTCGGGGTCGTCGTTTCCACCCCAATGCGTGATTAGTCCAGTAACTACGGGAGCACTACTATTATTACCTGTTATCATCATTATTATGATTATTTGGTCTTGACTGTTGTTATTGTTGTTGTCTAACTGTCGCTGCTACTGCTGCTGCTGTTGTTGTCATTTACGATCATATTAATTTTCTTATTCGTATTCTTATTTCTCCAGTTTCTCTTTCTTTTTAGTCACAATTATTTCCATAACAACTTCTGATTATTTTGCATTCCTATTTTCCTTTTACCCTTTTTTGTTGCTAGTTCGCCCTCCGGATCCTCCAGAAATCTTCACTAACCATCCACTAAGACCCAACTAACTTCACGGACGGCGAACTACTCCTACCGCCCTGGTCCTCCTACCAACTTCCACTACGGGACCGCCATTACCTGGTAATTTCGCCCATCCCAGTGCCCGTCGGCCGTTTCAACTCCTCCCATCTTCTTTCATCTTTTCTTTCTTCCACTATTTCTGTCCTCTCGACTTACTTCTTCTTCCCCCCTTCCAACTTTTCCCATCCAAACCATCCGCTTAGTTTCTTAACTCTTATTTTCTTCCCCTCTTCTTCCTCCCCTCCCTCCCCCTCCTTCTCCTTCATCTTGTCCGATTAATTACTATTTCGACTCCTCTTACACCTCCCGACCGAATTCCCTACTACTTGCTATCCTGTCGCTACCCTCTCTCTTGATCTCACCACCAACGTCGACACCTTTTTCTGGCCCCTCTCGCCACTCTCCAATCGAACCGGCTGTTCACCCTTTTCGCTCTCGCTCTCTACCACCCCAACCTTTCTTTTCGTCCAGTGAAAGGAAATAAGCTGTCACTTCTTATTTACGTTCAGCGTGGTCGAGCACCAGCTTCCGCGCGCAACTGCTGGTGTATCTGACCACGGGTCTTCAAGTCCGCCACGGCCCCCGAAAATGACGAGCAGAACCCCCAGAAATCGAGTGCTACCGCTATGAGTGATGTTGAGGCTGTCTCCTCCCTGCCAGCTTCCCTGGATGCCGGACAAAGCGCTTTTGCTGTCAAGGTGAACCACCAGTCTACCTTGGGTCATCCACCTTCCAAGAGGACCACTCCCCCGGTTGCTCAGGAAGTGGATGCTCCCGCTAAAGAGGTAGATCCTGCTGTCGGGGACGGCGATGGGCCACCGAGCCCCAAGGCTGACTCGGAGGCAGAAACCATAATTCAATCGGGCCGCGAATCTCTGTCGCCTGAGAAGAGACGGAAGTTCATCAAACATGAACCGAAACGACGTGATGATGCAAATGACCATGCTGATGCCGCAGAGAGCGATCTTCCTCCTAATGATTTGCAAGTGAGAAAGCGGAAATCGGCGGACGATGATGATGATGTGCCCAGTGAACGCGACCGTCCGGTGCGCCCGGCCAGCCCTCAGCGGAGGGCCGGCTCGCCACCTGCCCCCATAGTTAAGATCGAGAAGACCGAGGAACCCCAGACGGTACCCAGTCGAGTCGAATCGTCCCATCCGATCACATCCGCCCCCAGAACGTCAAGGAAGCGCAGCTTCAGCGAGAGTGTCGACGGGGAGGCGGATGCTCGTCGAAATGCACGTCAACATCACTCGGCAGCCCCCCGCGACCGGGAGCGACGAGATTTGAATGGGATTTCTCTCCCTCGCCCAACACCGAACGATCGATCTGTCTCACCAGTTCGTTCTCATAAGCGGACAGCATCCGGCCCTCAGCTCAGCAGCGATCTACAACGAAAGAGGAAGGCACCCACCCCGCTCATCTCTGGGGTGCCCAGGCAGAGTTCCGAAGACAGACAGTCCGTCTCCTCATCTACCAGCGGGTCTCCCTTGCCCAGTGCCTATGTACGGAAGGTTGCGTCTGTGGATGGTGCTTCGGCGTCTCCCGCACGGCCTATGGGGCACAAGAAACAGCGAGATCAAAATGGCCGGACGCGACTTGCACGTGCCTGTGCCGCCCAGGAGTTGGAGGTAGCCATGGCTCGACATGCCGAACGACCGGAGGATCTCAATGTTGCTGATAATGCGGGAAATACACCACTACAGATTGCTGCCCTGGAAGGTTGTGCGTCCATTGTCAAGTTCTTGCTAGAGGCTGGCTGTGAGGTCGAGACCAGGAACATTGACAGGGACACGCCGCTGATAGATGCCGTTGAGAACGGGCATCTTGATGTTGTCAAGCTCTTGCTTCAGGCCGGTGCAAATCCCCGCGCAGTCAATGCCGAAGGCGACGAGCCCAGCGATCTGATTCCTTCAGACTCGGAGGACTACGACGAGATACGGCGCGTGATCGAGGAAGCAAAGGCGAACCCACGCCCGAGTCGTCGCTCAGAAGAGCAAACAGGATCTGGGAATAGGGAAACGTCCTCCCGTCGGGTTGCGATCAATAGTCCACGTGAATCGCCACCGGTCAGTGGACAACGAAGTCCGCCTTATGCTGGTATCACGAGCAAAAGGAAGAGTGTCAGGAGCGAGGCTACTCGGAATGATCTACTGTGGACCAAGGCTACACCAGAGAATCTACAAGCATTCGCTGCCAAGGGCGATATCGCTGGAGTTGCCAACATTCTTAATGTCGGGCAAAGGGCGGATCCTGAGTCTATGATCGCCGCAGCCAAAGGTGGTCACGATGAAGTGTTGTCCCTTCTACTTGGCATGGGCGATGCAGATCCGGATCCAGATCCTGTACCGGGCGGCTCTCAAAAGCCGGGATACAACACCCCTATGTTGGCAGCGATTGGCCGAGGCAACCTTCCCGTGATCAAACTGCTCCTTGCTC